TCTTTCCATTCACAAAGGAGAAAATCTGTGTTGCTGTGATTATGGAACTCTTGATATGGTAACAAGTACTTGTTCCTTAATACCCTCTTGGGGTGGAAGTATTTAAAAGGCATTTGATTGAAATAATCTTTTTGTTGGAACACTGATGACGGTGTCCAAATATTATAAAGTGTTTATGTTTCAACTGATGCAGATGATAATTGCAAACTTTTCATTGCTCTGGTATAAAGAGAATATTAGAGAAATGCTTATCTTATTTATGAAGTTGAGGAGTAGGCATAATTTTTACTAAACTTCTGTAACCTCATTTTGAGATTTAAATGTCATAATGTTGCACTTTGCTTCTACGAATAGAAATTTTATTTGGAAATTTTTTCACGATTAAGTTGACAGCATGTAACACTTTTTTTCTATGATACTGTTGTACCTTAAAACAAAACCTTAGAGACTTGATTCTTTGCGATGACATGAAAGCGGTAGCGTTGAAATATAGGAAAATCTTCAAAGAAACAAGAAATCGAGAGAAGAAGGAACGGGAGAAGAAGCAACTCGGACTCCTTTTCATCTTTCAGGTTTAAATCAGGGTCTTGGATACACCCATATTTCTCTCAAAATAAATTGAAAACCATACAGTAATGTGTGCTTCTTAACTAAGGGTCAATTCTCTGAAAATATCCTATTTTTCAGTAGAATTTGGGAGCAAGTGATCAGTGGCTGCATAGCCCCTCCTAGGCTTAAGTTTTCAAAATAGCCTTCCCCTCTCCTCCCTCGTTAAATATATCTTTGCTTTTGTATTGCATGGGGAGAGGGCTAGTTCAAGGTAGTACTTAGTAGTACTTTTTTTCTACGCTTTGTCAACATGAAGTTCTGTGTTGGTCTGTTTTGAACATGTAACAGGAGGAATTTGGGCTCCAGTCATTTCAGGTGGAGGCATCTATTATGACTGCAGTATTTGGTCTTGCAGTACCATGAAAATAAAAGGATGAGAGTTGTCAACTACTGCAGTTTAATCCGAGTGTGTGAAATATGAGCATAAGATGCTCCACTGAATTTAAAAAGTTTACCTCCAGAAGCAAATCATTCCCAGCACTGACTGGTGTTTCTCATTTACAGTGGCTATGGAGGAAATATTAACTACCTAACTTTTGCTTAATCAAATTAGGATGGCTCAAATTTAATTAAGAAGAATAGAACTATGATAGATCATTTTACCTAGGGACCTCTTTAATTAGCTTATAGTTATTGTCTAAATAAATTTGGATATGAGCAAATGTCACTGGAGCAGATGAAACTAACATACAAAGAAAAAAAGAAAGCTGTGATGCACACCAGAAGTCTCAGCGTAAGCTCTACCTGTCTCTGAAATCAGAGAGCAGTGGGGCCTTTAGTTGTTTTTTAACAATCAGTAGGTAAATAATTAGCCTTTTTTTTTTTTCTTAAGAGTAAACATGAACATTTTCTGTTGATTTCTCTTTGTTAATCCAGCTGGTAACTTTTCGTTTGAGTATTGCATCATGAAAGTGCTAAATGTGTTTATATTGTGGGTTATTTTTGGTAGGAGTGGTAGGACAAGATGAAGCTTTCAAAGGAACCCTAGAAGTTGAATTTAAAATGGATTGTAAACATAGTTTTCAACTCCTATAGTTCCTCCTTTAAAAAACAAAACATCCTTACAGAAGTATGTGGCTTCATTTTTGCATTAACTTGTAGTTTATTATCAGTATAAATATTATTAAAACTACAGAAATGATGCTATTTAGCCTAACATATCTGTAGCATGAGAAATGATCATGAAAATGATGGCCTGAAATTCTGTTTTTTTTTTTTGCAGTCTCATCTTCTGACTTCTGTGCTCTAGCCACTTCATTTTCTTCCTCCTTTCCCTCCTTAAACTACAAAAATGCGTTTTCAGACTGGAATCTAAAAATCAAGTTTTTTTCTGTTGCTTATAATATTAATAAAAGAGCCTGCTTTAGGATTTTCACGTGAGGCAATGTCAAGTTACATTAGCTAATATATCCACTTGGCCTGTATTGGTAGCAGGAGAAAATCTACTTTCTCCTTCCATTCCGCCCCCAAATGGAGAAGGTGTCACCTTACTGACTGAAAAAAGCATTGAATTTTAGTTTAACTCATTAATACACTTGCTCTGTGGTCTTTAACAAATAATTACATTTCTGTGGCAATGTTTTTGAATGAAAAAGAGCTTACTCACCCAGTTAAAGTAAATGGATAGGTTTCCTGTGTCTTGAAAATGGGTGGCTAATAACTTTAATATGGCTTAAAAACATCAGGAGAATATAACATGTGAAGAAGAAAAAATGCATAGTTATGTGTGAACAGTGTGTCACTTTACTCCTTATTCAATAAACTGCTTAGTAGTGTGCTTAAGTGTCAAAGAAAAGCTTGGGTGTATGAATGTGGTTGTATTTTGCTGAACAGAGGTGCGTTGAAGTGCGTGGTTAATTTTAAACGTGAGTTTAAATGCTGTATGGAGATAACATCTTAAAGGCTGGTAAAGAAATCAGAAGTTTTGAGAAGTCGTGAGAAGTGGGAGGGCATAGATTGATATGACCTACTGAAGTACATTCCTTGAAGAGTTATAATATAACCTAGTCATCATCAGATTTGAGAAAAAAGTAATCAATTTAAGATATTTGTGTGAAATTTGGGGCAATCTACTTTATGTTTATCTCCCGGAAGTAAGTTTACAATCCATTTGTATCTCTAGCACTTGGCAACTTAATGTATTGTAGAAAGAAAACTCTTTAGAAGGCCTTTCGGATGCACAGACCAACAATGTTTCTGTTGGAACACAGGGCAGGAGAAAATGTAAATGCTAAGTAATTAAACATTCATGTTATAAGCCATAGGAAACAAACTTGATTGATTGTTAAGCTTTCCATATTTA